ATTATGATATTTAAAGAATATGTTCTCATGATTGGACTCGTGAGTAACCCATAAATAATATGGTGATACATGTTTGAGTAAATATTATAATTAATATTTTTATTTACATAATTAATATTATTTGTTTATGCTATTCTATTTATATATATATTATAAATGATTATGATAATATAATTATCTTAAAAAGATAAATTATATAGATCGCTGTATTATGAAAGATTAACAGTGTTATGATACATAAAAGGAAGTATGACATTGATGATATATAATAATTATGACTTACATGAGTAGTCGAACTTAATATAATATTATTATATTTATTAAACTTGTTCACCTATTTTAAAATTTTTGGCCATGTGTAAAATACTTTTAAAAACTTTTAGAATATAATTAAGTAAAATTATTTTTAAATAAAATTTTATTTTTATTTTTATTTATTTTTATTTTTTTATATCTTATCATTTAATGGGCTTAGATCAAGTGACCCTATTTAATTAAGTAGTATATATTATTGATTTGATTAAATTTTGATTATGATTATCGATTAATTGAAAAAAAATCCATTTATTATAAGATTACTTATGAGATGATGTTGATGAAAGTAAACTTTTAATTATAATCTTATACCTTTTACTCTCGCTTATATAATGATAGAACGATGGTATATTTATAGACAAAAAGAGTAGAGAAAACAAGCCTAATTCTTTTTATAGATCAATATCGTAGCTTTCCTTATATCAAACCATACTACGTTTGTAGATTAGAAGAAAAATATCTTGAATGACTTTGAGAGATGCATAATCATAATCTTTGATAAATGATTATTTGATTTTATTTTTTAATATTAATTTTTTTTATATAACAATGTAATTATAATTTTTATATTAACAATGATTAGTAATTTAAGCTTAATAAAATTAACATGATAATTATCTCATCAAATCGATCAACTCATGAACCCACTTCTGTGATTGAAGATGAAAAGTGGCCATTATTAGCCTTTAGGGTGGAGAGTCCCTGTGCACTGTGCGGGATTTGGTCTGACGTATCCTGCTATTTGTTCTTTGGTCTCCTGCTGCTTTTGTTCTCTTCTTCCTCTTTTACTTTCTTGTAGTTCCTTGGAGCCGTGTCGGTGTTTGCTTTCATGTTGTTCCCGGGAGCCGTGTCGGTGTTTGCTGCAGCGGAGCTGGAGATCAAGAAATCCATGTTTTAGCTCGGGTTGCTTATACCTCGAAACAACTGTGGATCCCCGAAAAGAATGAACCAGACTTAGCTTTTACGCCCATGCTAGTGACGCTTCATCAGAATATAATAACTCAGCCATGGACGCTACCAGCACACCAGACACAGAAAAGCCCACGCTGCCTTTTGCCGTGGCGCAACACCGCCTCTCTCTCTCTCTCTCCCCCTCGTCCCCTGGGAACAAAGTGAAAGCGTGCTGCTCTGCCAGTCTACACCTTCAGTCTCAATCACTGTTCTGGCACTCATTGGCCGGCGGTTGATCTCACAAGCAAACAAAAAGATCACCAGAAGTGTTGATCAAAGGCGTGGTTTGGAAGCTGTCTGTGTGTAATCCTGCAAAGAGACAACAGATTAGGGGATGCAATAGGCAGCACTGTTAAACAACAGTTCTTCTTAATTTAATTCTTCTGGGATTAAAAATAAGAGAAAAGATTAAACATTGCATTGAATAGAGATTTTTCATGAGAAGGTACATGAACTTCCGAGTAGGTGCATGACGTTTATAGATAGGATTCATGATCTCGAGAGTCCGAAGAAAACTTGTCTTTGTAAAAGCACTTTGTTTGTAGAAAGGTTAGGTGAATCAATGTGGAGCCAATAGCGAGTTGACAGAGTCAGATGAATCAGTGAAAGGTCAAGTTTAAGTATTAGATTTATTATATTATTATTGTTACATAAAATAATTAGTCACTCTATCAAATATATATATCATATAATTTTTAAATAATTTTCTTGAAGAAGTATTTATAGAATTGTTTTTGGAATATATTAAAAATGAGAATGAAGAAATTTTTTATATGGCCTAAATCAAATACCTAAATAGTGGAATTTTAAAATAGATATTTATTTTAAGTAAAATTATTGTATTTAATGCTCTTATGAGAGTATAAAGAAAAGAAGATATATTACTTATTTCTGTGTAGGTAGATTTCCAGTAAATCGTGTGATAATCGACATTAGACTCGTGTCTTATTTTCTTCGTATTCAAATAAAATATTAAAGATATCTTTCTTCTAAAAAAGTACATATAAATGAAATTATAAAAATTAAGATGGGAGTTTGTAGTACCATTAAAACACCCATAGGATGTGGTATGTATGACAAGATTATGTGATAAGGCAATTGATCGTATATACTTCAATAAAAAAAATTAGATATTTGACATATAAGTTGATTTAAGAAAGAACTTTTAAGTCATTAATACCGTAACTCGTGAATTTCTATATTCGTATTCCAATAGTATGTTGTTAGCTATTGAAACAGTGAAGTATAGAAATTTAGAAAATCCAAAAATTCAATTGGCTTTACCTATTTCTTGATAGATAGATAGTATCTTCAACCTGTATTTGAAAAAAATAATATATTGCGACATACATGTAAGGTGGAATATATGACAATATCTTTATATCCATATTATGTTATATGGTTTCGAAAGCTCAATCAAGAAATTATATAATAAAATAATAAAAGTTTATAATGATAATAAAAAATAAAAATATTAGCTAAAAAATTAATTTGTTATCATAAAAACAAATACATTGACGTTTATTTTCATTTTTTATAGGTAAAACATGACAATGATATATAGGTAATCACTATATGATAATATGTGGTCGATATATTGATCGTCAAATAGCGTTGGTTGCTCGTGCGCAACTCATGATGATCAAATTAGAATACTCATAATCACTATGTGGTGATAAGTGATCGACTAGTTAATCATCTGAACCTTATTGATATAGTCAATTAGTGTGAGCATTGGGTGTGGCGATCGTTATGCCATAACTCAGCTCGAAACACCACACGTCTCTCTCCAACCTTGTAAAATTCCCCTAAGGATACTTTAAAACACAATTCATTTTTAGCATTAATCGATTAGTTCAACCAATTTGAACCCCTAAATTAATATGATCGTTAAATTGGTATTTGTCGAAAACACTCCCGACTTAGTTTTCACATATTCGACATTGTACGAATCATGATTTCAACTGAGATTAACTTGAAATATATATTAATTAGATCTGAATCATCATTCTAATTTAGACAATCAGAACCTTTACTAATAGTTTTATTAAGGATCATATCAAATATCAAATTATAGATATATTCAATAAGTCCCTCAAGTCAAAATTATTTTTAAATTAAATAATTTGCTTGGGGTGTAGGATGAGAATAAATTAAATTTAATAGATGTTAAGTAATAACATTAATTTAATTCCTCTTAATTCAAAGTATGTTTGATAATACGAAAAGGTGTATAAAAATCAAACAACCGTATTAAGTAGGCATTTTCAGAAAGAGTTACATGAACCTTTGGACAGATGCATGACGTTCAATGTGACATTTCATTAGATGCTCTCGATCCGTATTAATATAAATAGATAGGGATTAATGGCATTGAGAGTCCGAGAAAAATTTGTCTTGAGAGAGAAAATACATAAGAGATTCGTTTGTCTCCACCAAAGTTTCCCGCTCTCTTCCTCTCACTCTCTTTTCTCTCTCAACAGTTTTGTTTCATGGAGCGCAGCGTCGACGAAATGAGCAATGAGTTCGACGAGGTGTTGGCGGCAGCCGCGGACGTGATACAGGCGAGGGAAGCATCGTTCGGCCTGCGGACGGCGGCGACGGATGCGGCGCTCGAGAAGTTTAGGCAGCGGTGGGGACTCTTCAAGTTGTCATGCGACCGGGCGGAGGACGTGGTCGACTCGGCGAGGAGGAGTATCATGGCAGAGCGTCTGATGGACGCGGCCTCCGGGATGGCACCGGGGCAACCGGAAACAGCGGGGTTGCAGCATCTCAACGTGCCCCGCTTTGAGCGGGCGCTCCACAAGGTCAACTCCGTCGCCGCGGACCTCGGACGTGGATCGGCTGCCATGGCCGCCGCCTCCTCATCCGGCCCCTCCGCTGCGACACCTTCCGTAGACAAGGCGGATTGAGGTATATCTGCTCTGCTTGAGATGACGCTGTGACGAGTTCGGAACGCTGCCTATGAGCTGTGCAATTACCTTATGTACAGTGAAAACAAGTAATTCGATACCCAGTGCTACCTTCTCCTTTCTATTCACATTTCTAGCGACATATATCATCACCTACAGATGAGCTGATTCAATTTCATAGTGTAATGCAACATGATTTAGTTTGAGCAGGTGATCTTACGATTCAAACAGACGAGAGTAACCAACCAAGTCTCTATCCTTTGATCCCTGTTCACTCGACATGAAACTCGATGCTTTTACATAATCATTACTTCTCCGTCTCACAGGTTCGTCGATAAGAGAAGCGACGGTACATGACAAAGCATCACTCTCGGTGGTTGCTCAATCCATTTTTAAGCTTCAATTTCATTTCTCCCTTCCCATCAGATTCCGCCGAAGAAGACAAGATGATGTATATATATATTAGACACGTGATGGTGGAAGCGAAGCTGAAAGCAATTTATTAGACACGTGTTGTTGATCATATAGGTGACCAAAATTTATTTTTGTGCCATTCATAAAACGTTATAATTTAAGAATTTTATCGCAATGGCCCAATTCAATATATGTTCTATTTTTTAATTTGAATTAATTGGAATTCTAGAACGGCTCAAAATAATATAATTTTAAAATATCATATCTATTAATACTATTAAAAATACAGAAATTTTAAAAAATTAAAAGATTGGCTTCAAACAAGTGATACAAAATTATAAGATAACAAAATAAAATAACTATATATTAAAGTGATTTAAAATAATATCTAACGATCATGACAAAACATTTGCGTTCGATCGGAGTCCGAGACCTTTGCAGCCTTGGTACCGATGTAACGCTGGCGAAGCTGTTGACCAGCGGGATGCGGTGGTGGTTGTAGTTGCCCTTGAACTCGACGTAGGTACCAGTTCTCTTCCCCTCGCATTGCGCAGCTCCAGCCGCCCATTCTCTTCCTTCCACACCACCCACTTCTTCCTCTCCCCCGCCCCAAGTCGCCCCTCAAAATATCTCCTCCTCCTCTCGTCCTACTATTCCCTCGCTCGCTCGCTCCTTGCTCGCGATGGCGATTCCCTCGTTGACTGATCGGAATCCCACGGGCCTTGTGGCTTGAATCCCGTCAAGTTTCCCAGTTCGAATGGTCGATGGTCGAGTCCTGGCTGCGGTTCTTGCCTGGAATCGATGTTCCATGTCGACCCCGATGTGAATCGCGCTGCCCGTCATTGGATCGGGTTCAGCGCGGCGTGCCCTCTTTCTTGGCATGTCGGTGCCGCAGGATTCCTTCGGAGTAGCGACTCAGATACGAGATGCTGGCGGAGGTAGAAATCGGCATCGGCTTGGTCGTAGAATTGGTAAAAGATTGCGTTTTGGGATTCTCTCGAATGAGCTTCGATTTAGGTGCGCGGCATCTACGCCACCGGGGAAGAGTGGTAACCCCAACTTGCCCGTTGATTTGGTTAGCTCTGCTAGGGGAACTGTCATCAAACAGATTTCGGGCAAGCTGGACAACAAGGATCCGAAACACTTGGCGTCCAGCTTTACGAACTACAGGGACGATCCTTTGGTGGATAAGCAAAGGACGCAGCTTGGCGTGATTCGTTCCATCCCTTCTCCGCCCATAAATAGGAATATCGCAGGCTTCTTCGTGCTCTTTTTCCTCGTTGGAGTGGCTTTCGACAAGGTTTGGAATTTAAGGAAGAGGGAGAAGTCGGCCCGGGACGTCGACAATGGCACGTGGCCACAGGCACCAACGAGCCTCTCTATATTTCTTGAGAAGGACCTTCGGAGGAAAGAGTCGGTCGAATGGGTAAACATGGTCTTGGGGAAGCTTTGGAAGGTCTATAGGTCCAGAATCGAGGATTGGGTTATTGGGTTGCTCCAGCCGGTAATAGATAACCTCAAAAAGCCTGATTATGTGCAGAGAGTTGAGATTAAGCAGTTTTCCATTGGGGATGAGCCACTATCTGTCAGGAGCGTTGAAAGGAGAACTTCTCGTGGTGTTAATGACTTGCAGTAAGTTCTTCCTATCTCAATTCGAAGTAAAGCTTGTTGCTCGTTATGGGCTTGTGGTTTTAACTTATTGTATGATTGGTTTTTTGTTGCCTTGTATCTATGGTGAGATTGCTTCTTTATGGTATCCACTTTTAGGGGTAAAACTGCATATATTCATTCTTCTCAGATTCCACATTTGCAGCCTTAAAAAAGTTTGATGTTCTGTAACGTTTTTTTTAGCATCAGTAAACCTTCTAAATGGAACTTTATGCTTACTAGCCTTACACTAATCTGATTGATAAGCTAAATGTTCAGTGTTAATTTTTTTTTTCTATTACATCCTGTAAACGCCTCATCTTTTGCTTTGGAAATCACTAAGGAACTGATGTCTGAAAGAGATCGATTGGATTTAAAATTTTTGGTTTCTAGCTAGATTTATCAGCGACTGATTTTACATGGTGATGGCCACTTTGGTTGGACATGTTGGGTTACCATCTTTATATTTTAGTTTTATGATTTTGAAGTTGCATGTTCTGAGTCAAAACAAAAAACAAAAAAACAAGGATTTAAGCTTCAAAGCAACATAAGAAAGTAACATATGGCATATATCATGGAGTTTCTCTACTCTCTAACCTGTCTTGCCTTTTTTATGCTTTTCTAGAGTGAGTTAGTCAGGATCATATGTTCTCATTCATTGGCTCATGCTTCTTTTGCCATGTTCTAAATTCTGATATATGAACTAGATTATGAAACATAAACTTTTGGAAGGTTCAACTTCCAATTTGGTTCATTCCATAGTCATATCAGCATAGCACATCATAGAATACCATATTTCATTTCATACATATGGAACAAAATATTAGCATCTTTTGATACATTTTTTTTAACATCAGGTATCAGATTGGCATTCGTTACACTGGTGGTGCTCAGATGTTGCTGTCCCTATCATTAAATTTTGGCATTATTCCCATTGTTGTACCTGTTGGGATCCGTGATTTTGATATAGATGGAGAGCTTTGGGTAAAGTTACGGTTAATACCCACTGGACCATGGATAGGGGCTGTGTCATGGGCTTTTGTGTCTCTTCCAAAAATTAAGTTTGAGCTCTCACCATTCAGTCTGTTCAATCTAATGGGTAGGTTCTTTATTCATATATCATAAACCCTAGGTCTCAACTCTCAATTTGTGATCTTCTATTTTGTTGTGTGTCTTTTTTATAAAGGATACACCTCAATAGTCCAATTCACATCATAAAAGTGTGAAATGTAATATGCAAAGTTTTGGTGGCGTGTTCTTATCTCAATGAGCATTTTAGGCATCAAGTTGCTTACACCACCTAGTTTTGTACACATCAGCTATTTGTCTATATAACAACTTATTTGACTTCTACTGACATTTACTTAAATGTCTTGTGCATGTGACGATTAATCTGGAGTCAGCAATTCCTGTTCTCTCAATGTAAGGATATCCTTCATTTGTAACTTTTTAAAATTTTCAATTCTGTCCACTGTTTATTTGCTGTTTCTTTCTTTTCTGATTCTAAGTCTTCTTATTGTACGTGTTGATGTACTTGTCAACATGATTCGACAATCCACATCATTGTCCTGTTTTGCTGAAACTTTGCCTGTGTAAAGTTGGCTAATTGTTTTTTTTCACTTACAGTTTGAGTTGCATTGCATTCTCATTTTATGCAAACCAATATCGTCCACGATCTACTGCTACGCCATCTTGTTCTTTTCAGTATTACTTAGCAAGAGAATTTTCTTAGACATCGACTTCACATCATTTTTCCAAATATAGTGGTCAGAATTGATGTCAAGCAGTCAAAAGTTTCAGATTTATAGTTCATCTTAGACTGGATGATTTATGGTAACTAAATGTACTTGATACAAGATTCTATTTTTCTTCATATTGTATGTTTGTTTTAATTTTTCTAACAAGCAAAAACTTGTTTAGATAGTACTTTATGAAGGTGTATGACTAATTTTGTAGCTTTGTGCATGTTGTTTCTTTTATATGTAAATGTGATTGGTTTCCAAATTTAGTAAATCTTGTAAGAATGCCTGTTTTTAACCTTTAGATTAAGTGTCACCAATACATATGCATATCATGGTTTTATGAATTTTCCTGAAATGGAGTCACCACTTCTTTTTAGGTTTCTTACAAGGCTTCTAACAGAAGATTTGCCTCGACTCTTTGTGCTTCCAAAAAAGATCGTTCTTGATTTCCAGAAGGGGAAAGCACTTGGTCCTGTTTCACATGATTTTAAAGTTGAAGCAGTGCAGGAGAGAAGTAAAGATTTTGTTGGAGAACTGTCAGTCACTCTTGTGGATGCTCGAAAACTTGCTTATCCCAAAATTGGTATCAATTTTTGCCTTTACAGTTTCTTTATATATGTATCTTGGCAATACCTAGGATACCTTGGCCTTCTATGAACATCTCCATTTGGCTGGATACTAGAATTGGAACTTGGTTAAGCTGCATTGTCTTCTTTGAAGTTGACCTGTTGCTTGTTCCCAATTCTTGTTGTTGCCCCATATTTATTTGTTTACTTCAAATAAAGTTTTTGCTGTGCCTTTTATGCTTACAATTACTTATATCAATTTGTTTTAAGCCTGAAGAGATGGTATGCCTGGGCAGGGAAGACAGATCCATATGTTGTTTTAACTCTTGGTGATCAAGTATTTCAGAGTAAGAAAAATAGCCAGACAACAGTCACTGGACCTCCTGGAGAACCAATTTGGAACCAAGTGAGATCTTCTACTGTAGTTTTTGTTTTGCTTGTCACGTGGTCTCTATCTACTTATTCAGTAGTATATATTCTGTAAACAGGATTTTGATCTGTTTGTTGTAAATCCTGGAAAGCAGAAGCTGTACATCCAAGTAAAAGACTCCTTTGGTTTCGCAGATTTCACAGTTGGCACAGCAGAGGTAGATTAATATTGCTGGTCTATTTAACTTTCATGAGTTCTTGTACCCTGACATGCTATTTGTACAATGCACTAGAAAGATTCTGCTAGTTCATAAACCTGCTGCTAGATCTTGATAGGTGTGGAAGTTGACTTGTGATTTGTCCTATAAACTTGGGACCATTCCCTTCTAAGTCAAAGGGCTAGTTTTAGAAGTTCTGAACGGGTTCTCTTCCTTCTGCTTTAGCATGCTTAGTATATAATATGAGCGAGTTGGATTGAACTTTTAGTTTGTATGTTCTTGGTTACCTAATCAGATCATGGAGATTGAAAATGTCATGTAATGATCTCTTACATTCTATAAATGCTATATTTATTGCTATATATGATCAAGTAGATTTTGTTGATGTATAATTTTGTTCAATAATTCATGTGTAGTTATAATTTGGTATGCTAAATGCCAAAACCATGGTGATTGAGCTTCAACATAAACCTTGTAAATTTATGGCCTTGGTCATTTGTGTGCAATCTCGTTGTATATACATACATATATATAAATATATATATATATATATATATATATATATACACACACACACATATATATATATATATGTATATGTATATAACGTTTCCAAAAGAAGAATGGTGAGACATGTTGTAATACCCTATTTTAGTCCCAGAAGTTGATAAAGATTTGAATTGATTTATAAGGGCTGTCAATGGTTCGAATTCAATAAGTTAATGAGTTAATTATTCCATTGGATGTTTTGAGAAGAAAGTCACCATTGGACTAGGCATCGCATGCATTATTTAATGGGAGAGATTGTAACACCCAATTTAGTCTCACGTCATGACATTTGTAGAAAAGGATTAATATTGGGATAGAAATCTATGTGATTGTATTGGTATGCCAAGTGTAGAAAAGGATTAATATTGAGATAGAAATCTATGTGGTTGTATTGGTATGCCAAGTTCTTGTACAAACATTTCTTTCCTGCACTTACAATGTTTTGTTCACGAAGTCAGTAAATGATCTAGTAATGCAGCAAAATATGGAGGTATTCCCAGGAGTATAAGAAATCTTGTATTTGGTGATCCGAAGCCAGCATAGCTTGAGGATAATAAATGACAAAAGAGTAGCATATAAAAAGGGTGATCCAGTGCATGAGGCTCCTAGCATTATGGAGTCTGGTCAATGTACTTATCTCATAGTTTCAAACATTGGTTTGTTCGGAAGCACAGAAGTAGACATCCTATAGTTTTATTTGTTATTGTAATTTATTTGGATTATTCACCCCTGAAAGTGACTTCACTATGAAGTTCTGCCACCATGGGACAAATCAGTAAGACTAGGTTTTGTTTGCTTCCCCTGAAAGTGACTTTTCTATCGTTTTTAACTAGGTCGAGCTAGAGTCCCTACAAGATACAGTGCCTGCAGACAGAGTAGTTGCTTTACGTGGTGGATGGAGTCTATTCAGAAATAAATCATCTGGAGAAGTATTACTTCGACTCACATATAAAGCTTATGTTGAGGATGAAGAAGATGATCTGTTGGAAGCAGAGTTTGTGGATGATCATGCACCTGATGATATCTCAGACTATGACCAACCAAATGGAACATTTGAGCAAAGTGGTTATCCTAGTGGAAAAGAAAGAGAAGCCTTTATGGATGTCCTGGCGGCTTTGATTGTGAGTGAGGAATTCCAAGGAATAGTGACATCTGAAACAGAAAATTCAGAAGTTACTGGTGAATCTAGAAATGTGACATCCCCAGTATCAACAACAATAGGTCTTACTGATGAGACGTCTACTATTGATTCAAACAGAAGTTCCAGTAGTTCTGATGGTATGCAACTTCTTTCATCTTTTTGTCTAGATAAATTCTAATATTTTTGTTCTTGTCAGTTTCCTGAATTTGGGATTTTGCAGATTTAGAACTAGTATGGCTTGCTGTGGTAACGGTTACAGTGGTTCTGATTGCTCGTACCATGGGTGATTCAAGCTTGTTCAATCCATAGCATTTGCAGGTATATGTGGATGTCCTTAGTGTATTTGAAATAAGCAGCTCTTAGTAATTTTACATGATATGCTTGCATATTTGATGTCTAAATTATCTGTTCATTTTTTATGGTTTATATATGAAACAAACGTCTCTATGATCAATCCAAAAGTTGTCTTTAACTCACACAAACTTACACTCTTTTGTGGCACATAGAACTTTGTACTTGCTGAAAGAGTTTACCAGAAATATCTAGTTGGTTGTTGAACTTCTGGTGATCCTTTCCTAGCTAGGGAAAAAAGAGAACCAAACCAATTATTAAATCTGATAAAAGGGTGAACCCGGTGCACATAAGGCTCACGCCAATGTAGAATCTGGGTAAGGGTTAATTGATAAAAGTATTTTACCATGGGCTTAATATTTAACAAAGAATAAGGAGAATTTTCAGGTCCCAGGTTTCTCTGGTCATAATTATGCGAATGGATAATTAGAACCTGAAGCCTGGACAAAAGCTTAACAGAGAAAATAAATTTACCGGCCATTGTAAAACATGTTTCCCACAAAATGAAAATCCACATATTGGAGCTCAAAAAAGTCCCAATTACAGCTTGTCCCTTGATGTCTAGTATGATTTGCTAAGCAGTTAACATGGTCAGATTCAGAACCAGGGAGATTTTACAGAAGCATTCAGGCATTCAGAGATCCAAACAATGTTTCCAAACTCCTAATCCAAGACCAAGAACTTTTTTAGTGTAAGACATGGGATGAGAATACTATCCCATATTAGTGAGGCATTCATATTGGAACTAAATGATTCCTGATCTTCCAACATCCATTGTTTTGGATGGTAGAGTGTCATTCTCTTTTAGACAGCAGTTTAGGGTCTAATCTCCATCTTACACAAGCTGTTACCTGCCTTCATGATGGATGACACCTGTGTCGGTTGTGGGGCCGAATAGAATTAATGAATCATGTGCCTATTTGTGGTCTATGATGCCTTGCTTCCCTTGTGACTTATGCTACAGGATGCAGTCTCCCTTCTGAAAAAAGAAGAGGGTAGTCGGTTTAGAGATTCTAAGCCTAGCGATACAGAAACCAGTCAGATTGTTGTATTTCAAATTCTTCCACCGGTAAGGTACGTATGTACTTGCATCTTGTTTCTACCTTTTATTTTGCATCCTATTTCCACCTATTATTTAATAACAAGTTAAACAGTAATGCTTGTCCATTTCAAATTGCACTGGAGTTGTCAGATTGATGATGCCCATCATCTGCTTCTCTTTACAATTTCTTTCCATCCTCATAGATGAACATGCAATTTGCTTGATATTTTGCACCCTCACCCTCCTGTGTGATGGTCCAAATTTTGTTTAAACATGCATGATCTGATGACAAGCTCTGTTGTTATCTGCAGGCTCCATTCTGTACATGCTCCAGGGCAGAGTGGAATCAACTAAATGATTATTGTTCAAAATTCTTCTTCTCATGTAAAATTAGCTCACTACAGTAAAAATGCTTTTGCAACCATTTCTGGGGTTCAATTCACATCTCTAATTCTCACATCTTTCCTCCATTGTCCACTTAACTTAGGAATGTTCCGTTTATGTCCGTCCATTAGGGATGGTAATCTCAGTGGGCTGTATCTACAGGAACAATGCTCTGTCAAAGACCTCCAAACCGTATGAAATCTGAAGGAAAAATGAAGACCACAAAGACTCTTTGAGGCGGAACTTGGTCTTGAGACATGGCTTGGTTTCGTGATGAACATGCAAGTTGTTGTCCTATATGCTACTAAGCAGGGGGAAGTCGTTGACCCAATGTACAGTTGCAGCCGTTGGTATTGGTGGGTTAGAGATGCTTCAGTGGGATTTGTGTAAAAGCTACAATACTTCCCTGCTTTTGTTTTTGTTAATATCAGTACGAATCATATTGTTGGCTATCATCACTTAAACAAGTTGGCTATTATGTTGTTGTGAATCTTCATGCACTGGTGTAACGCCCTCAGTACTATAGATTTTCATATAAAAAATATAAGGTCAAAACTAGAACAAAATACTTTTTATAGTATAATTATTGTATAGATTAATTCATAATAATCAACCCACAAGACATTAATAACGTGATTCGATCCATCCATATGATATTCATTAAATTCAACAACTTCTTAAGAGTCATAATATTTCTATCCAAATAATATATATATACACAGTCATCTCAATGCATAGTGATCTTAATAGAATAATTATATAATTCAATCATTAATAGATTCTATCATGCTTTTACTATGCATTCTAAAAAAATTTATCAGCTTTTCAAACTCGATTTGATATTCTTAATCTAAGAAATCTATCTTTCATTTGCTTTTGAACACTCCTAGAAAAATACTTTCGAAATATATATATAAATATCAACTAGTTAGTTCATGCTTATAAAATTTACAAAACATAGTTTCATATCCATTTCAAATCACAACTTAACTTGCTAATAATACCTTTTAGATGTAAAATATATTTAAATACCTTTATGCTGAAATCATAAACATTATAGTCCAAAGATTATCATTAATTTTTTATTAATAAATATAAAATATAGCTAAGGTGAACATGTTTGAATACAAGTCAGTGGTATGTATTAATGGCTCGTTATATCATCTCAATGACAAGGTCCAGAATCATTCTTAATTCCTATGGTATAGATAATATATATATCTTCTTATGTCAAGAACAAATTAGTTTCTAAACAAATACCTATCCCTTATTGGTAAAGTCTTGATCATAACCAACGAAGCAAGTGTCATGTCACCTAAAATATGTTAGAATCTCGGATTTTGTTGGTGAAATCAATTGATAGGTTAATTGATTTAATCAATATTATTGAAGTTAAGTGTACAGGATTAACTATGATAGCCTGAAAACATAAAGCAAGGATACCAGAGTCAAGTTCGATGGACGTTTGAGAGTCCGAAGATGCTGCCGGAACCAACCAAGAAGAAATCGGAGACTTGTCGAAACTTTCGGAAGTCTGCCGAAGAGATCGTCAGAGGTTCGCGGAGATCACCGAGAAGGCTCGGCTACTCGTTGAATTCGTCACAAGATCGGGAGCCTCCTGGGAGTCCGCCGGAAGAAATCCGAGGGCGTATTGGAAGTCCGCCTGAAGATCGCCGGAAAGCTCGTCGGAACAAGACTCGACATTTGCCGGTTAAAAACTTGCTTAGGATTATGCTTTTAGTTACGTAGTATGTAATTAGGGTTAGGATTAAAGGATAATCCTATATCTTAGTTAGGGGCCAATTGGGCCCGAATGTGATCTGGTTTGGGCCGAACTTGAAGCCCAACCAGTGATCCGTAAGGACGGGCGGTAGAACCGTCGGATTGGGCGGTGGCACCGCCCAGCACTCGAGATCAAGCGGTGGCACAGTCACCGCCTTCGGGCTCTGGGCGGTGCCACCACCCAGCACCCGAGATCAGGCGGTGGCACAGTCACCGCCTTCAGGCTCTGGGCGGTGCCACCGCCTAGCACCCGAGATTAGGCGGTGGCACAGCCACCGACAGGCAGTGACACCGCCAGTACACTGTCAGTGTCAGACACTGATAGGCGGTGGCACCGCCAGCCTTGGAAACCCAAGATAATTCAAAATTTGGAGCCCAAATTTAAATCCTTTTGTGACCTATAAATACCCCTCAATTCTCAGCAGAGAAAACAACTTTTGCAAAACAATAGATTGAGATAAGAGCCTTAGCAAAGTTTTAGCAAGTCATGTTTTCAAATTGCTTGAGTGTTCACCTCCTTTCTTCTTGTTGAAAAAATTATAAGAGTGTGAACCACTTGTAAAGGTTGTAAGAGGGGTATTAGTCCTTTCCCTTCAAAGTAATTTGCTAGTGGAAGTTTTGAGCCTCATTGAAGAAGGCTTCGTAAGTGGATGTAGGTCATTTGACCGAACCACTTTAAATTGACGTGTTCATTGAATCTGTAAGTACTTACCTTTTTACAATCGTTATCTACATAGCAGTGAGTTTCCGGTTCTTACTTTACTCAAGTTACTATCAAAGCTAAATCTCTCTGTATTTTACGGAATCATTTTCGAACTTACAAGTTTTAATCCACTGCACTAATTCACCCTCCCCTCTTAGTGTCATTCCGATCCTAACAAAATAATATATCAATTACTTTTTACAAAACTGAAGGTATAAAGAAATCCTTTTTGCATGCCTTTTCAAAACAAATATAATCATATATTATTTTTTCTAATTCTTTCAAATATAATAAATATTAAACAAAAATGTTTATATAAATTTTGATAGGATAACTTAAAAATACTTATAAAACAATAACAATAGTTCAAATCATATGTTTTTTCAAACTATCAATATTTACATTTTTATAATATTTTTTAATAATAAATTAATTTCTAAATTATGTAAATCATATGTATTTACAAATATCAAACGCATTATTAGTATTTCTGAAAATAGATTAGACGGAGTCATACTTACCCTGATTGTATATCTTTGATATAACATATTTTGTTCTTTTTTCTTTATTCTTTCAATATCATCATTTTTCTCTTTTTTTTTCTTTTATATACTATATCTAAAATCATTACGATACATCAATTAATAATCCAAAACATAAATCTAATTAATGTGAATATAAAAAATTTTAAATCATACATAATATAATTTTTGAACTTATCAAAATCAATTTGATATCAAAACCAAACAACCTACATAATTTTTCTTTTATTTTCTTCGTTTTCTCTTTCTTTCTTTCTTTTTTTCATTCATGAAGCCCTCTCCTCTCCTCTCCTCTCGTTTCTTTTCTTTTTTCTCTTTCCTTTATTCCTTTCTCTCCTTCCTGGAGATCACTCTCTCTCTCCTCTCCCTTTTCCGTCTTTTTCTCTCCTTCTCTTCCTTTTCCTCCTCCCATCTTCTTTTACCTCTCTCTCTCTCTCTCTCTCTCTCTCTCTCTCTCTCTTTCTTATTTTCATTATCGAAGTCAAAATGATTTGATACAGCAACAATAATGATCTGAAATGTAAACAGTTACAAGTTTTACATTCATGAATAGCTCCGGAATAAATAAAAAAGTTGATTATAATTACTAATTCATACAAAAAATATTTATGGGAGGATTAGGTCACATCAACATTAGTTGAAACCAGCATTTCCAAAAATATTTTGAGAACGTTGCGGCAAGGAATATTTCGCTTGTAATATAGAATACTTTTCATGGTTAATTCACTATAAAAATGATATATTTTGGGCATGATAAATAATTATTATTCATTAAAATTACTTTACTCTGATTGGTTATTGACTTCAGCATGCATCCGAGGGATCACATCGCATAACTCATTCAATCTTGATCTTTATGCAAGTAAGTTGATCGTGGAGCACTCACCTGAGTCCACATCTGACTCACTCTCGAGCGAGCATTCGAGTCACCCCATCAATCATGCTAGACTTTTTATGTATACAAATTGAAATCAAATAGAGCTGATCCAAGTATCATTGATATTGTCCATATTACTAATATAGCTCGAAGCATAGTTTACTATTATATGTGATTTATTTTTTAAATATATCTAATTATGTATTATTTTATTTTTTTATATGCTTTTATCATATAAGTTATATATATTTTTGTATCTGTGGTTTGTCTATGGCATATTATAAAGATTATGTTATAAGATTTTATTTTTGATTTTTTTTTCGAATATATAGATGTACATTTCAGTCAAATGTTGACTCCAAATAAGCTCACATTGTTGCACATAAAACTCATGTCATGCTTATTTTGCCGGCGGTTCAGACGTGCGTCCAATCCAAACCAGTCCTCAATGAAACTTGGCAGCCCAATCATTGTTCGGCACGCGATGCCTGGATGACACGTGTCTCATCGTCCACGTGTCTCAAAGCGGCCCCTCGTGCTTGCGCACACCCGCTTATCACAGCCGTCGGATCTGCGAGTAACCAATCTCGACCGCCCGATTTGTCAGCTCAGCCGGGTCCTGCGCCCATCTGTTTTCCTTTCCTATAATTACTACCACCTTCTCCTTCTCTTCCACTCCGAGATGGTTTGTAGAGTCTATCAGGAGAGAAGTATTTCGCAGAAGAAAGATAGAAGAGAGAGAGAGAGAGAGAGAGAGAGAGAGAAGAA